AGAAAGCAACCATGATGGTCAGCTATGAGACATCAGCAGAGGCAGGCGAGTAACGAGGAGTGAAGGCCACGTGGAAGCGTTTCTTCGTCGAACTAGCTGCTGCAGAAACACACAATTTCGTCTTACCTTGACTTTATCGGTATTCCGTCTGCAGGCGGAATCGGTCTACACGGAGTACTATAAAACGGTTCTAAACAGACTGTCAGTCCAGCATGACCGGTCGCAAAGTTAGATAGCACACAAATCTAACCAGTCTGAAAACAGGTGTCGTACAGTTTATATCTACCCCTTCCCACTGCTCAACCAGGGTGGCAGATAACCCATTAAAGAAGGCCTCAGGTAATTAATTGTACGTCGACTGCTGTGGGAAACGCGAAAACATTTACTTAGTTGCTTACTGACTGACTGACCGGTATCTGAAGTGGTAAAAAAAAGTACGCCGTATCTTGACCGAATGGCAGCTACAAATTACTACCCGACTGGAAAAAGTGCACATTACTCGAGTAGTTAATATAATAGTTAAGCTGTAGAACCACAGATAAATGGTCCTCTGCCGACAGTAGAGGGATGCCTGCTGAAACTTTCGGCGAGTTGGTAAGGACAGCATAAAAGTTCAGTGCGCGCAAAATCTCTACCAGCTAAGCTATTCAGAAAACAGTTCTGAAAGTAACGGTGCGTCAAAGTACAAAATTTCCACAGCGCGATCACAAACGAAAAATCAGTCATAAAAACGAGTACGAGGCAAGAATCTGAAGGAAACGCCGCAATGGTTAGACATATAGTAGCGCAAGGCTCTTCTCCTAGTCAGATTTAATATTCTGACAGAAGACGTAAACATGCAAAACCCAAAAATACAGTGCTTTTTTTAAGCGAGGGTCGTGCACTTCTGGGAACAATATAAATGTCGGGTGGAAAAAATGTTTACACTTACGGAGTGATCCAGGACGACGGTCAATAATTGAACAAATGAAGCGTAATTATCCTGGTCACTTTTCGCACCATTTAGAAGAGCGGTGAAACCTGCAGGTTAAAAAAAGGCATGATGAGATAGCCCCCAATACAAGCATAGAACAGAGGTTTTTTTAAAACTGAAAGGAAAACGTTCTTTTTATTGGTACTTCTGTTGTCAGTCAATATTGGCAGTACTGCCTAAAGCGACTAGAAGCATTATATATGATCCAAATGACCTGCAAAAATCACTGCCCCCCAAACAAACCAGCGAAGAATTTTGGCAAATTATCAGAAAAGCCGCGGTCATATAATGGATCCCGCTCCTACCTAGCAACAGTTGTAAGAACACCAACACGGCGTAAACAACATTTAAGATTCCGGCCATATGAACCCACTTCGTTCTGAATCTGTTCACACTGAGTAGTGCAGTTGTTCACGGGTTAATTGGAGTTGATGAAAATTGAAACCACCGGGTTCGTTTTGTATTCAACAAGATACTGTGTGCAACACAAATGGCTTAGAGTCGGAAAGTATTTTTGTGGGTGTGTGTGTTAGTTCGACCATCGCAAGCGAAGATGTCCACCATTTGCTCAAGAGCACTGACGGTGACTGTGGTTAAGTATAGTGAAGTAGACGCGCCGCCATCTACCCC